GACTCAATCAGACAGCGTCACGGGCCGTTCCGCCTCAACCGCGGAGGACATGTCGCTCGCAGGGCCCCTGCTCAGCCACGGGTGCTACCTCCCACCTCGGAACAACCTACCCCGCCGTCCAACCCCTGGTCAGGACGCTGCAGCCAATCAGAACCCGGTCCTCATTAATTACGCACCACCCTGCCGGGAGCCTCCCTCCCATTGGCTAGTAGGCGCTAGAAGGGGCGTGGCCACCCCTAGGCTCCGACCCAACCACAGGACCAGAGGTGGAGCGCGCGCAGAGGGAGGGAGTTCGGTTGAATCGGCGTTTCGGTGCGGAAGTGGCGGGTGCAGCGCCCAGGCGGCCCCGGAATCCCATGGTTGAACGAGAAAGGTGGCCTGGGGGAAGGTTTACGGTAGGGCGCACTGACACGTCGCCAGCACTTCCGGTACTCCAGGTCTTGGGACCGACCAGACTCTGGAGGGGGCGTTGCTGTCTTTTCCGCCCCCTTTTCTTTTCTCAGGGAGAAGTATTAGTATAAGCTCTAGTAGAAGAAGTAGTGTACACTTTTTCGATTTAGAGAGACCAGGCTCCCCCCACCCCCGTGTAAAGTAGAAGACCCAGCCTTGTCAGAAGTGCCACGGCACAAGTCTTTGGGCATGAATCCCACGAGGATTAAAGTCCCGCCCCCACCCCTTAGCGGGCTCTGGGCGGGTGGTAGAGTCCAGGGGGCCGTCCAATCACAAGGCTCCAACGCAGCGGAAACGCGTGGCTTTGTGAGGGAGGGGCTCCTGGCTGCCCGCGTCTCCATAGCGACCACCTCAGGCCAGCCTGAGAAGTCGGGACAGGGAGGTAGGGGGGCTTTTCCGGCCGAAGCCGGAGTTTGGAGGCCTGGGGTACCTGACTGCCCTTTCTGCTCTTTGGTAGTTCATCCAGCGTTCTCCTGTTTTGGTGATCTCTATGTTCAAACTGTGGGCCCAATTTTTCAATATTTCGATGAGAAAACTGGCTGGAGAGAGGCTGTTGCCGAAAGGTTTCGCCACAAATTTGAGGCACGGCCAGCCCCCCCCGCCAAAAAACGCATTCATATTTAACCAGTCGCCCCTACTAAAATTGTCAGGCTTAGCAGATGAAACACGGGAAGCCATGTTACATGGAATTTTTAATGTAAAAGTCAAATTTAAGTAGATTTCTTGCATTTTATCTTACAGCTCTATCTACTAAGTGCTAGACTCATGCTTAGTGACTCAAAAAACATGAGAATCAGACTTTGAACAAGGCAAGGCCCACTTATGTAGAACATTGTTAAGGGCTACAAAGGAATAAAACAGTGCCAAAATAGAGGATAAATAAAAGATCCCACAGGAATAACTTTTAGGTTATGTGTGTGGTGTTCTGTTTTGTTTTTGCAGTGTTGGAAACAACCTAGGGCTTTGGACATGCGGGGCAAGGTCTGTACTACTGAGCAACATCCTTGGCCCCAGGGGGAGCTTTTGGATATATTCCCTCCTCCATTCACTTTTTCCCCTATTTTGCCTCTGCCAGGGCACATCTGGGGCTGTACATTGCTTGTTTTGTTTGGTTTTTTTTGAGACAGGGTCTCACTACATAATTGAGACTGAACTGACGTGGAACTCACCATGTAGCCCAGGCTGGTCTCGAACTCAACAGCGATCCTCCTGCCTCAGCCTCCCGAGTGCTGGGATTACAGGCATGTGCCACCACGCCTGGCTTGTTTTTGTTTTTAAATTCCACACTCCTCTCTGAAAACTGTGGATTTTGGAGAAAACTTTCAATACAGAGACTTGAATACATAGCAGGGACAGGGTGAAAAGGGGAAGCAAAAGCCCAAGGAGGTGAGGAGGCTTCCTTCCATCTCAGTTTATGGCCTGCAGAGCCTGTGTTCTAGTCACACACCACACTGCCTGCAGGAGCTGTGTTTCTGTTGAAGTGAAGGAGAAACAAACACAAAAATGATTAAAACCTTTGAGGAGGCCTCCAGAGGCCTCACCTCCAGCTCTCTCTCATTTCCCAGACCTTTGCTAGTCTCTGGTGAGCTCTTCAGATTCCATTCCTGCTTGAGGACCCTGTACCAAGGAGCCTGGCCCCGTTTTGGAGATCAGCTGCTTAGGAATTAGGTTGTCTCTTCCGGAAAAGATCAATTCTGAGACCCTGGAGGGCAGGATGAGAGGGATCTAAATCAGGCCGCCTGGATTCTAAGACCAGTTCCACCACTTACTCATTGTGTGGGACTGAACAAATTGTTTCCTCTGTTGTGAGATAGAATAATTTTTCCTATTTCAAAGTGTAAATGGAAGAATTAAAGAACAAGAGGAAGGGACAGGAATGTAGCTCAGTGGTGCTGCACCTGCCTCGCAAGCACAAGGTCCTGAGTTCAATCCCAGGTACCAAAAAAAAAAAAAGAGGAAGAGGAGGAGGAACAGGTGGCAATGTATATAACAAAGTTGTTAAGGTTGTTAAGTAGACAAATAAAAATGAGACCATAGTTTAGATACCCCAGGACCAATCACCTATAGCCACATAACCAAAACTTAAGTCATCCTGATTTCCCCCAAAACACTGACTCTGAACATTAAAAAAAAAAAACAAAAAACCCACAAACTTTTAGTTCTTATCAGCATAATTCAATAGAATTAACCCAATCGGCTACAGACAAGTCACTTTAAACAGCTGGTTTCCTTAGAATATGTGACAGCCAATCTAGAAAAAGGTCAAAATACTTACTTCTTATACTTTATAAACCAGGCTATAACTGCTATAAATGGAGACTTCTTGCAAATCTCAGTTTGCAGTCTGATTCATGGACTGCTCTTTTGTAAGCACAATAAACTTAAAATTTTAATTTGATCTGATTTTATTTCTGACAGTAATGCCTGGTACAAACCAAGCAATCAACCAACTGTTATCCTGAAATGAAAAGGCCTCCAGAGTTCTTGCTTTCTGCAACCTGTACCTACCTGCCACCTTGTCGTACTATAAAAGGTTGTTAAGAGTTATGCTTTTAGGAATGACTTCATAGCTCTTTCTTTTTTCTTTGCAGTACTGGAGATTAAACCCATGGCCTTGTGCATGCTAGGAAAATGCCGTACCACTGAGTTACATCCCCAGCCCTTTTTTATTTTATTTTGGAGAGGGTCTCCCTGAATTGTCCAAGCTGGCCTTGAATTTTCGATCCTCCTGCTTCAGCCTCCTGAGTAGCTGGGATTACAGGTGTGTGCCGCCACATCAGCTCCCCAGAGCTCTTGATAAGTAAAATCACTAAGATAATAGTTTAGCTTCTTTAAATCCCTTTCTGCTGAAGGCCTCTGTGCCCTTGTAGTGTGACAACCCTTCTGTAGGCTGTACACAACCGCCATGGGCTTGTGAAAATTTGCTTCCATTTCATAAGGAATCTCCTGGTAGAAGTACTGGGAAGCAATTCACCAAGGCCTTCATCTTTCATTATCACCCAAGATTCACCATTTGAAAGCCCTGTGATTTACTACCCCTGTTCTATACTTAAGGAAGTTGAAGCCCAGAAGAACAGGGACCAGCAGTTTTCAAATGGCAGGCAGTGCTCCTGTTAGCCCATAGAATGTGATTCCGCCCAAAAGAGCCTGGCTGGGGAGAGGGGGACAGTCTCCAGGGACCCAGGTGACTGGAGTGCAGGAGTCAGATTTCTAGCAGCTGAGCAAATTTCAGGTGCAAGACTCAGGCCTGAGAAGGGGCTAGGGCTAGGTACAAGAGATAAAAGGGTGAGGGCCTGGCGGGGCGTTGTGGCGCACACCTGTAATCTCAGAGCTCAGGAGGCTGAGGCAGGAAGGACCGATGTGAGTTGGAGACCAGCCTGAAGTACATAGTGTCTGAGCCCTGGGAAGCTGTCTGGGGAACCTCAACTCAAAGATGAGACAGCGTCTCCCTCACAAGAGATGCTTTTTGTAGAAAATGCAGAGAACCTGGAAGGGAACTTTTTTTCCCCCCCAGCACTGGGAATCAAACTTGGGACTTTGCCAGGCAGGTGAGACGCCAGTGAGCTAAATCCCCAGCCCTGTGATAGGGAGCTTTAAAAAGATAAAATTCACTGTAATTCCATCCAGAATGGAAACAAGGCTTGCAAACCCAGTCAGGCCCTCATAGCAGGTTCTTAATACACACTGGATCCCACTCACGTGGTTCTCGGAACCGTCTCGGGAAGCTGGAAAATAGGCAGTGTCTCCTTTTTGCAGACGAGAAGCTAAAGCTTAGAAGGATTAAATCATTTATCCAAAGCCACACAAAAGGAGCACAAATCCTGGTTTTGTTGTTCAGGGGTGGCTTTGATTCTGACTCAAGTTACGTATGGAACCCAGCTCTACCACATATCACTGCATGACTCTGGGTAAATACTATAAATTCATCTCTCTCAGCCTCAGTTTCCTCCTCTATGAAATAAAATAGCTCAAAGGATTGTGAGAAATAAGACATGTTTTAGGGCTGGGGATTTAGCTCAGTGGTTCCACTGCCTGCCTCGCAAGCGCAAGGACCGGAGTTCAATCCCTGG